CCACAGAGAGGAAGTGTAGGTGTGGAAGAAAATTCTCTGACTTCAGAGTCATGAGGTGTGGTGTGACCTCAGACAACAATAGGAATACTGTTCCCAGTGACAACTGACACTTATTGGACTAGTCATTTCATCTGCGTCTCAATTTCCTTGTCTGAAAGCAGGTATAACATGTATTCATTTGACAGGCATTTATTGCACTCCTACTCTATTTCAGACTGAAGGACCAGGTGTATAATGATAAACAAAACAGACACAGTCCAGTTCTTAGTAAAAATACAATCTAGTGGGGGAGGCAGGTAAGTAAGGACATGAATATATTTTATATGCATGTATACAGATACATATATTCACACACAAATTGTGCTTAATGTTATGAGGCAGAATAACAGATGGGACTGTCAGTAATTTAGACCACTGGTTCCCAGATGGGGGCGATTTTGTCCTCCAGGAGACATCTGGCAATTCTGGAGACATTTTTGGTTGTCATAACTGGGCCTGGCCTGAAGCATCAGCGTATCTGGCATCAAATGGGTGCTAGGAATGCCACTAAACATCCTGCAATGCACATAATAGTCCCTATAAAAAAGAATTACTGGTTTCAAGTGTCAGTAATGCTGAGGTTGAAATATTGATAAAGACAGGTCAGTGAAGTTCTCCCTGAGGACATCCTATTCAAGAAGAGTTGCTGGGAAAATTAGAAGTAATGGAAGCAAAGCCTTGAGGATGGCCTGGTACACTGGAGATCCCAGGAGAGGGCATGTGCTTGGTGGCTAAAGCAGGGCTCTGGAGTCAGACTTCCTGGGTTTGGATCTTGTCTCCCACTTAGCTGAGTGACCTTGAGCAAGACCAACATCTGAACCTTAGTTTCCTTAAAGTCTCAAATAGGGTGAGCACACATAATACCATCTCACAGACCTGTGAAGATTGTGTGAGATAATACAGGTTAAGATGCTGTACTGGCCTAAGGTAATTGATCACCACAAGTTTGTTATTATTGTCAGTAGCTCCAAGGGCACTTCTAAGATCATATTCAGGATAAAAAGTCAAATGCTGGTGTTTCAGTGGAGAGAACACAGGCCAGAGAACTTGCTTGAAGAGTCCCCTTCATAGCTATGCCACCTGTGGCATGTCCGCTCTCCTTGTGGGCCTCAGCTTTCTCATCTGTATATAGCATAACTCCTACCCCAAACAGTGATCATGAAGATCTGTAGCGTATGAGGGAGTTAAGGAGCAGCTGCGCCTGGTGCAGAGGGAGTAGACTCACCCCACTCTTGTTCTTGCTGTTCACGGAGAGCCCCAGGGCTGGCCCCCCTGCCAGGGACTGCTGCAAACGCTCCTTCACAGCCACCAGCCGCAGCTCTAGGTCAATCCGGCGCTCCTCCTTCACCCGACACTGAGCTTCCAGGGTGGCCAGGGCCTCCTCCAGACCCTTTAACTTTGCCCCTGTGTCCAAAGACATTGATGAGAAATAGCTGAGCCTGGCCTGAAGCATCAGGGAGTTTGGCAGGACCTCAGACCCTAGTCTGCCCTCCCCAAGGGCCTTTCCAGGCCTCAGTCTTGGTGAAGGGATGGATTTTGGGCCTGGAGTTCTAGCTCCATGCTATATTGTGTGGTTTTTACCTGCCCAGTATCCATTTCCCCATTCCGTTCTCATTCCTTACAGTTTGAATGGGGCTGACCTCACTCCTAGTTAAAGGGTTGGCACATAACTTAGACCCTGGCTCATAATTATATCTCCTTTTCTGGTCACAGTGATTGGTTTAGGGATCAAAGCTGGTCTAATCAGAGTGAATCTTGAAGTGTTTTGGGGGGCCTCTGGGAAGCCTCTGCTGGGGTGGCTGCATGGATTGGTTGAGGGCTAGAGTTGTGTAGCCTTTATACCACCACGAGGGGCATAGAATGAAACCAGTGTAGGGGAAGGCAGAAGCAAGAACTAGAAAAGGCCTTGCTGTCACTGATCACTCAAGTTTCCCATTACATTTTTCTTTTCATTTCTAAGCCTATTTGAGTTCGGTTTCTCTTGTAACAAAGAATCATGACACAGGGCTTTACATTGATCATAGACTCCTACTAGGATTTAGCTGCTTATTCAGTTTAAGCCAACAAAACTATGTTAGTTTAGGACCTTTGTGCCAAGAGCTGTGTTGGATCTTACCAGGTTTAAAAATCAGTTCCATTGTTTGCCCTGAGGAAGCTGCACTGGAGGGTTTTCTAGCAATGGTGGGTTTTAAAAATTCATTTGTTCATTCACTTGTTTGTTCATTCATTCATTCAGTAAATATTTATTGAGTGCTTACTATGTACCAGGCACTGTTCTGTGCCCTTGGGATATATCAGTGAACAAAATAGGCAAAGATCTTTGCCCTTTTGGAGCTTATAATTTGTGTGTGTGTGTGTGTGTGTTTGCGCGCACGTGCCTGTGCATGAGACAGACGGAGAACAATGTGGTAAATAAATAATATGTTAAAAAGTGATATGCAGTAGAAAAAAATTGAGCAGGACAAGTTGGACAGTCAAGTCATTCTGGTCCAAATCCTGATTCTAACTCATAGTTCTTCATATTGAAACCAAACCGCATTTTTGTGCCTTCTTCCCATTGATTCTGGTTCCTAGCCACACATAACAAATCTTTAAGCCAGAAGTTCTCAGTCTGAGGCTCATGTATTCCTGGGCAATCTATGGCTCCAGGAGCACATGAGCTCCTAAAATTGTTTGCAACATTGTGAACTGTGGGGATTTTTTCCCTTAGGAAACCCTCCATAGGTTCCATCTGATTCTCATGAGGCTGTATGACCCTGGACATATTCTATGTAAGGAGAAGACCTCTGTTCCCTCCAGATGTTCAGAAACCTCAGTCTGAAGGGGTGCTGAACTGCAGCTATAGAGAAAATTCAACAGAAACCTGGCAGGAAAGTGGGGTGCAGAGGAGCCCAGGGCAGGCAGGGCCTGCAGAGGTCATGGCCTTGGGTTTCAGAAGAGGATCCTGGCAAAGTGTCACTGTCCATCACTCCCAGTACCTAGCCTAATGTCTCACACACTTGGATGCTCAGCATGTATTTGTGAATGAATGAGTTAATGTGGAGTTCAAAATGATATGTCTTATTTCCTTAATTGTAAGGTACACTTTGTTTTTCACATTTTAGCATTTCTATGATCAGATATTATTTTACCACATTAAGTGTACACATTTGTGTTGCTTTTCCATCCCCTCACTCTAAAAGCATTTATTAAATTGGTGGTACTTCCATTAGTCAGGAGAGATGAGGCAGAGGAGGAGGGAGAGGAGGGGGAGAGAGGAGGTGGGGGGAAGAAAAGGCGGGGAGAAGCCTACCTGTACCCAGTAAGAAACCAGGTGGCTGGTGCAAGGGCAGTGTCAAGGCTGAGGGCCGCCCCCCCATGTGCTCAGGACCACACCCACATAATTACCTGGGCTGTTCCGAATGGCCTCCTTTAGTTCCCTTTTTTCCTGTCGCAGTGCCATCAGCTCTGTCCGGATTGTCTCTTTCTCTTTCTCCAGCTTCTCTTTTTCTATCAGGTACCTCCTGGCATCCTCCTCAGCTCGGTTCTTACCGTACTTATACTGATGGGCACCTGCAGAGATGAGGCAAGAAAAGGCCCTCAGTTCCGACCCCTGTGAAGGTATTGGGTGGTGGTAGCTTCTCTCTCAATCTCTCCATCTATAAAACAGCAATATTTAGATCTATACCCCTAGATACATTTAGTGTGAAGGAAAGGAGACAGGGAGCCAAAGGGAGGCAGCAGAGCATGGGGATGAGGAGCAAGGGCTTTACAACCAGACAGTCTGTTTTCTTTTGCCCTTTGCTGGTTGTTCGACATCAGGCAAAGCAGATGTGGTGTTTTTGTGCCTTCGCCTACACTTTAGTTTCCTTGCTTGTAAGTATGGGTATTGGTCAAATTTACCTCTTGGCATTGTGAAAAGGACTGAGACAGACATGAAAATTACCTAGTATGGTACTTGGCAAATAGTCAGTACTTGATAGATACTAGATATAATGTAAAACAAAATTTTTGATGCACACACACTTTAGTTTTAAAAGGGCATTTTTATAGTTAACTCTATTATATATAAGACAAAGAGACAGCTACATATAACTCAGACTTGGGGCAAAAGTTAGGCATTGCCCATTTTATTACTGAGAGATTAGTGGAAAGTGAGGAACCTAGAAGTTTACTGTAGGCTCTATTCTATAGTGGACAGTGACAGCACATGGTTATGGCAAAAATGTATCAGCCATTTACTATATGCTAGGCCATTTATATGCATTTCTATTTAATCCTCACAAAAACTTACTATTAATATCTCTACTTTATCTTGAGGAAACTGACACAGAGAGGTTAGGTCTCACTGCTAATGATGGCAGAGCCCATGTTTGAGCTCCAGGGTCCATGCTGTGCAATACTGCTCTTGCTTGGGCAAGGCCAGAGTACAACCTCTCAGTGAAAGTTTTATTATTATTATTATTATTTTATGCTACAGACAGCTACATGTAGTCCTCTGTAAGTGGGGTGTGGAGCAATTCCCACGGTTTGCTGATAATTGGGTGTCTTGTCTCTCCAGCTCTGTGGGGATTGCAATGGTCATCTATTACCTATGCAGAAAGTCAGTTCCTGCCACAACTACCCTGCAATTCAAGCCTCATTGTAAATAAAACATGGAGGGCAGAGAATGGGACCCATGGCTCCCTCTACTTCCCAGATACACAATGGTATCCCAAGGGAGCTGGCACCCAGACTTTTGGATTTTGTAGACTGGTAAAATAAAAAGTAGAGAGACCAACAAAGGATTGTCAGCATTATTATACTGTATCAGATTAGGACCTTAAAACTACCAACTACCATCTATTATTCCCAGTATTTATAAAAAATAATATTTTAACATCCTGGCTTGAACACAAACAGAATGAATGTCATTTATATTGAATAGAATTAACTTTATGAAAAACTTCATGCACTGTTCTTATTTTTCTCATTTATTGCAGATGAGTGAAAATTGCCTCTGGGACCGAAACAGCAAGTAAACTCACCTTTGTGAGCCACCGCCCTGAGCCTCGTTGATGTATCAGCACCACGGAGAGCAGCTTATCTCACACCCGACCCGTTAATGCTTGAGTCACTCAAATGGTGGTAAAGAAGCAAACTATGTTTTTTCTAATCGGTAAGTTCTGTGGGCCTCATAGTATTAGGGATAAAATGTTTGTTTCAGAACTGCCCAAGTATCTTCCAGAAAAATCTGGGCCTCCATAGTAAGGAAAAAAAAGGAATATTTAATGTCCAAGTTAGTAAGGTAGCTAATGCACAAATGTAGTTATGTATCAGTACTTCTTTCCTTTTTATTGCTGAATAATATTCTAGGTGATTTTAGGGGGAGCCCTCCATTGTGTCTGCTGAGAAGTCAGCTGTTAATGTTATTGGGGATCCTTTGTAAGTGATGAATTCATTTTCTCTTCTGGTTTTAAGATTTTCTCCTTGTCTTTGGCTTTAGCACTTTGAGCATGATGTGTCTTTTGTGGATCTCTTTGCCTTTATCCTCCTGGAACTTGATTGAAATTGCTGTGAAATTAATGATTTCAGTAAATTTGGCAACTTTTCAGCCATTACTTCTTTTAAAATTTTTTATGCTCTTTTCTCTTTCTTCTCTCCTAATACTCCCTTTATGCATGTTAGTGCACTTAATGGTATCTCATATTTCTCTGAGGTTCTGTTCATTTTTCTTCATTCTTTTTTTCTCTCTGTTCTTCGGAATGTATAACCTCTACTGATCTATCTTTACTGATTCTTTTGCCACTTCAAAAGTACTGTTAAGCCATCTGATAGGACATCGTCATCTTGCCTTTCTTTACTTTTTTTTTATTAACTAAAGTTCATACTTTATTAGATTTATTTAGATTTTACCTATTGTCCTTTTTCTGTTGCAGAATCCCACTTAGGCTACCACATTACATTTAGTCATCATGTCTCCTTAGGCTCTTCTTGGCTGTGACATTTCTCAGACTTTTTTTTCCTCCCAGTTTAACTGAGATAATAATTGACATATAACCATGTATGAGTTTAAGGTACATTGCATGATGATTTGACCTACATACATCATGAAATGATTATCACAGTAAGTTTAGGGAACATCCATTATCTTGTCTAGGTACAAAATTAAAGAAATAGAAAAAAAATTTTTTTCCCTGTGATGAGAACTCTCAGGATGTACTCTCTTAACAACTCTCATACAGCAGTGTTAATTATATTTATCATGTTGTACATTACATCCCTAGTACTTATTTCTCTTATAACTATAAGTTTGTACCTTTTGACTACTTTCATCCAATCCCCTTCCTCTCACCCCTACCTCTGGTAACCACAAATCTGATCTCTTTTTCTATGAATTTGTTTTTGAACTAAATTTGACCTACAATACTGTGTTAGTTCCTGGTATACAACATAGTGATTTGATGTTTCTATATATTTCAAAATGATCACCATGTAGTTACCATGTTACCATCTGTCACCATACAAAGATATTATATAATTATTAACTATATTCCTTGTACTACACATTTAATTCCCATGAATCATTTTATAACTGGAAGTTTGTACCTCTTAATCTCCCTCACCTCTCTCCTCCCCCTGACTCCCTCCCCTCTGGCAACCACCTATTTGTTCTCTGTGTTTTTGACTCTGTTTCTGTTTTGTTGTATTTGTTTTGTTTTTTAGATTCCACATATAAGTGAAATCATATGTATTTGTCTTTCTCTGACTTATTTCACTTAGCATAATACCCTCTAAATCTATCCATGTTGTCACAAATGGCAAGATTTCATTCTTTTTAATGGCTGAGTAATATTCCATTATGTGTATATGTGATGTGTGTATATGTTATATTCTTTATCCACTCATCTATTGATGGGCATTTAGGTTGCTTCCATATTTAGTTATTGTAAATAATGCAGCAATGAACATAGAGCATATATCAGTGTTTTCATTTTCTTTGGGTACATACCCAGAAGTAGAGTTGCTGAATGTTATGGTAGTTCTGTTTTTGTGGAACCTCTAATTTACACTCCCACCAAAACTGCATAAGCGTTCCCTTTTTTCCACGTGGTCACCACTACTTGTTAATTGTTGTCTTTTTGATAATAGCCATTCTGACAGAAGTAAGGTGATACCTCATTGTGGTTTTGATTTGCACTTCCGTGATGATTAGTGAAGTTGAGCGTCTTATCATGTGCCTATTGGCCATCTGTAAGTCTTCTTTGGAAAAATGTCTATGGTCCTATGCCTAGTTTTAAATTGTGTTTCAGTACACATTTTAGAGTTATTTTTTCTAGTTCTATAAAAAATGCCATTGGTATTTTAATAGGATTGCACTGAATCTGTAGATTGTCTTGGGTAGTATGGTCATTTTATTCACTATTAATTCTTCCAATCCAAGAATACGGTATATCTTTTCATCTGTTTGTGTCATCTTCAATTTCTTTCATCAGTATCTTACAGTCTTCTGAGTTTTTACCTCCTTAGATTTATTCCTAGGTATCTTATTCTTTTTATGTTTTTAAAATTTAAAAAATTTTAACTTCTTTATTTTTTATTTAAAGATTTTTAAATTTTTATACAATTTTTAAAGGTTACTTTCCATTTATAGTTACTACAAAATATTGCCTATGTCCCCTGCATTGTACAGTACACTCTTGAGCCTGTCTTACACCCAATAGTTTGTGCAGGTGCCATTCCCCATCTCTATATTTCTCCTCCCCTCCACTGGTAACCACTAGTTTGTTCTTTATATCTGTAAGTCTGCTTCTTTTATGTTATATTCACTAGTTTATTATATTTTTTAGATTATACATATAAGTGATAGCATACAGTATTTATCTTTTTCTACCTGACTTATTTCACTTAGCATAATGCACACCATTTTGCTGCTAATGGCAAGATTTTGTTCCTTTTTAATGGCTGAATAGTATTCCATTATATATATTTACATCTTTATCCATTCATCTGTTAACTTAGGTTGTTTCCATCTCTTGGCAATTATAAATAATGCTTCTGTGAACACTAGGGTGCATGTATCTTTTCAGATCAGTGTTTTTGTTTTTTTCAGATACATATGCAGGAGTGGAATTGCTGGGTCATATGGTAGTTCTATTTTTAATTTTTTTGAGAAACTTCCATACTATTGTCTACAGTGGCTGCACCAATTTACATTCCCACCAGTGCACGAGGGTTCCTTTTTGTTCACATCCTTGCCAGCATTTGTTATTTGTAGACTTTGATGATAGCCATTCTCACAGGTATGAGGTATCTCATTGGGATTTTGATTTACATTTCCCTGATGATTAGCAATGTTGAGTGTCTTTTCATATGCCTGTTGGCCATCTGCACTTCCTGTTTGGAAAGATATCTCTTTAGTTCTTCTGCTCATTTTTCAGTCGAGTTGTTTGTATTTTTGATGTTGAGTTGTATGAGCTATTTGTGTATGTTGGATATTAATCCTTATCAGTCATATCATTTGCAAATATTTTCACCCATTTGCAAGTAGGTTGTCTTTTTGTTATGTTGATGGTTTCCTTTGCTATGCGAAAGCTTTTAAGTTTAATTAGGTCCTATTTGTTTATTTTTGCTTTTATTTCCTTTACTTTAGGAGGGGGATCCAAAAAAATATTGGTTCAATTTATGTCAAAGAGTGTTCTGCCTATATTTTCCTCTAGGAATTTTAGGATATCCAGTCTTACATTTAGGTCTTTAATCCATTTTGAGCTCATTTTTGTATATGGTGTCAGAGAATGTTCTAATTTCATTCTTTTACCTGAAAGCTGTCCAGTTTTCCCAACATCACTTGCTGAAGAGACTGTCTTTTCTCCATTGTATATTCTTGCCTCCTTTGTTATAAGTTAATTGACTGTAAGTGCATGGGTTTATTTCTGGGCTTCTACACATTCCATTGATCTATGTGTCTGTTTTTATGCCAGTACCATACTGTTTTGATGACTAGCTTTGAAGTCAGAGAGTGTGATTCCTCCAGCTCTGTTCTTTCTCAAGATTGTTTTGGCTCTTTGGTGTCTTTTGTATTTCTGTACAAATTTTAGAATTATTTGTTCTAGTTCTGTGAAGAATGTCACTGGTGTTTTGATAAGGATAGCATTGAATCTGTAGATTGCCTTGGGCAGTATGGTCATTTTAACAATATTGATTCTTAGAGTCCAAGAACATGGTGTATCTTTCTGTTTGTGCCATCTTCAATTTCCTTTATCAGCATCTTACAGTTTTCAGCATACAGACCTTTTACCTCTTAGTTAGGTTTATTCCTAGGTGTTTTATTCTTTTTAAATGTGATTCTAAATGGGATTGTTTTCTTAATTTCTGTTTCTGATAGTTCATTGTTGGTGTATAGAAACGTAACAGATTTCTCTATATTGTTTTGTATCCTGCAAATTTACCAAATTCATTGATGAGCTCTAGTAGTTTTTTGGTGTCTTTAGAATTATATGTCTAGTATCATGTTTTCTCCAGACAGTGACAGTTTTACTTCTTCACTTTCAGTTTCTTCCTTTACTTCTTTAAGCATGGTTTACCTTAGTTCTTTGAACATATTTACAAAGGATGCTTTGAAGTCTTTGTTAAATTCTACATGTGGGCCCTCTCACAGGCAGTTTCTGTTGCCTGCTTTTTTCCCTCTGCATGGGTAACACTTTCCTGCTTCTTTGCATGTTTCATAATTCTTTTTGTTGAAAATAGGACATTTTAGATAATATACTGTAGCATCTCTGGATATACTGATCGCTGACCCCCAGCAGGTTATTTACTTGTTTAGTGGCTTAGCTGGCTCTTTTAGTGAAGTACATTTCTTGCTGCAGCTGAATCCTTTGATGTTGAGCGTCAGCGGGTAGAGCCTTGGGCATGTGCACAGTCACCCTGGTAGAACAGTGGTCTTAGCAGGGCTCTCTCTGGTTCTCTTTCTGATCTTTCTGTTAAGTTGCCTGACTTTACTGGCAACTTAATCACACCGAGCTGTTAGGCTCCGCTAATTGTCAGCTGATTGCTCTATTGTTTTTGACAATGCCCTGGATTATCATTTGCTCTACATTCTGTTCCAACTAAAGTCAATTCTTTTGAAGGAGAGCTTTGGAATACTTTGTTTTTATGACCTGCCTTTCACCCTAGGCAAAA